ATAGTGACCCTGACAGGGTTTACAAGGTGAGTGAGATATTTAAGGCATCGTTTCACCAGTTCCACTCCCCAAGTGAGTTTCCATGGCCAAGTGAGGATTCGAACCCTGTCCTCCAGAGTACTTATCCATCACTCTGTCCACTACACCACACTGGGAATCTACAAGTATCAATTACTTGTGGGAAATAGTTGTTCCTCAGAGGGAAAGGGGTACTATTCCAATGGGGGGGAAACCTTGTTTTTAATAACTGCCCCTTCTCAAGTTCTCTGACGCATGTCAAAAATGCTAGGATACATTTTGTGAGCTTGCTAAAGTTACTTTTTGAACTGTGTCTAGAATCCACTGAAGAGCATGGCAGTGTGATCTGGAGGGAGCTCAAAGAAAACATGAGGCAAAGGGTTCAGTACTTCCAGCCATGTTCAGGCATTATAAACTGTATAGACTATTTGTGTGCAGAGGACAATGTTCTAGCCCTGACCACTTTTGGCATCACATCTGTCACCCTCCTACTTGCAGAGAGGGCCAAGTATGAAGAGGGAGATCCCTCTTCACATAGGCCAAAACCCTGGAAAATAAGGTGTCAACTAACATGAAGAGCCCCTGTAGATACCTGAGGCAGTCCCTCTTCATACTCATCATCTTCATATGCATAAGAGTGAAAAAAAAAACAGGAATTAGATAGAATGCTACCCTCTACATGTAAGCTTTCTACCTAGTTAATGCTTGAAAAAGGTGTTTGCTATAACTTTTCTGATAATCTTAGAGCTGCAGAACTGGAAGGGACTCTATGAAACATTTAATGCTTGAAAAAGGTGTTTGCTATAACTCTTCTGATAATCTTAGAGCTGCAGAACTGGCAGGGACCCTATGAAACATCCAATCCAGCCCCTGCCAAGAAGGCACAGTGGGGAATAGAACTCCCATCCAGAGACCTAAGCCACTGAGCTATCCCTCAAATTCAGCTTCTAACTTATCACAGTCTTTCAGTCATGACGAATTTTTGGAGCATCTAAGGACAGAAAGTTGGAACACCACCATAAACAAAGCCAGCCCAAGACATTTTGTTCAGAAAATCCCATTTGGAATAGGACTTGCCTGAGTCAGAGAAGCGAATGTCCCCTCCCAAATCAGACACAGTCAGGTTGTTTTGCCCCATGAGGCAGAAAACATCCAGAAGCTCCTCTTCTTTTTCCTGACTGTAAGTCTACAATTGCAAAGTAAATATCTGTTCACCGTCCTTTCATGACATCCCAAATCTTCTGCAATGATAAGGAAGTGGGAGGCTTCCACTTGGGGCTGCTTGGGCCCCTCCCAGTATTATGGCATATCTCTAATGATATGAAAACGGCATAGCTGGCTCCAAGATGTTTCACTGCTGGAGCCAAAGGACAAGGTGGCATGTAATCTTCTGACTACAGCAGCTGACCAGACTGGCAGGTGCCTCTTACATCAGCACTGGACAGAAGTGTGCCTTCCATTGCATCTGAGGAAACATGTCAGCTTAAAAAGACACACAGAACCAGCTCACACATATGGGCACACATATACCCCCTAATATACTGCTACAGTTCCCCACCTTCAGCAGCTTCTGTCTCACTCCACCTAAGGCCAGAAGGAATGTCCCAGCTTCAGCCAGTTGACTTTGTTTATATTTATTTATTTTATATCCCGCCTATCTGGTCGGGTCAGGACCACTCTAGGCGGCTTGTATATTGTATATTCTTGTATATTCAAGAGTGATGCGCCCACAAATAAAGCCGACATGGCACTTAGACAGGAGACGCATTTGAAATGTAAGAAACCACTTTACACTAGGTAAAACTCAGTGGAAGGAGCTTTAACACAGTGGTAGAACACATACTTTGCGAACACAAGGACCAAGGTATAATCTTCAGCATCTCCGGGCACGGGTAGCAGAATATCTTACTGGGTATTGTCAGGTTGGGATTGGCAATGCTGGGCTAGATATACTAAGGATCTTACTCATTGTAAGGCAGCTTTCTATGTCCCAAAATTATCCTTTCGGACGACAGTTCCCAGAATCTCCCACCCAGCATGACCAGCTCCACTGGCTGCTCGTCCATTTCCGGGCACAATTTGAAGCACTGGTTTTAATCTACAAAGCCCTAAACAACTTGGGTCCAAGCTACAGTAACTCAAAGGGGGCGGCTTACATAGATAAAAACAAGACAAAGATCATGTCTCCTTTACCCTGCCTGGGTACTAAGATTATTAGGATAGGTCTTGGTCCCACCTCCTTCACAGGTGCGTTTGGTGGGGACACAGGAGAAGGCCTTCTCTGTCACTGCTCCCAGAGTGGAAGCAGTGGAACTCCCTCCCACAGGAGGCCAGACTGGCCCCATCTCTAACATTCTTCCACAAGCAGGCAAAGACCTTTCTCTTCAGTTAGGCTTTCCCTGAGTGCCTGGCTGCCTGAGTGAGTTTTTAAAATGGACTGTTGTACCTTACTCTTTTTTGGGACACAGGAGAAGGCCTTCTCTGTCACTGCTCCCAGAGTGGAAGCAGTGGAACTCCCTCCCACAGGAGGCCAGACTGGCCCCATCTCTAACATTCTTCCACAAGCAGGCAAAGACCTTTCTCTTCAGTTAGGCTTTCCCTGAGTGCCTGGCTGCCTGAGTGAGTTTTTAAAATGGACTGTTGTACTTTACTCTTTTTGAATGTGTTTTGGTGCTGCTTTTGTTTTTTAGTATAGAATTTGTTTTGTTTCTTTTTTTAGTATTTGCATGAGATTTTAACTCTTAAAATCTTGAAACACTGTCTTTGAATACTTTAAGACAACTTGAGTCTTTTTAAAAACTTTTTAAATTCTGAGAAAGGCAGAAGTTTTAAAAAATCAAATAAATAAATAAAGTTATTGAGGAATTGTAGTCTTTTCCAAGTTCTGGTAAATGTTCATCTAGCAATCCGGTCTATTCTGACTGGCAAAGTGGCTCTCTGGGGTCTGAGGGTGAGTTTTGTCCCATCACCTGGACACCTCTTTTTAAAACCCAGGTATCAGAGATTGGACCTGGAAAGCAGCTTCTTATGTTTCAGATGAATCTCCTGTCTATTTGTCTTGTTTTGTGTTGGCTTTATTTGTGTGTACGTCACTCTTTAAAGAATCAGGGAGAACAGAGCTGACCAGTTAAAGCGAGGACACCAGAACAATGCAGGTGTTCCACCAGAATATTCCGGCTTCTCCCATTTCCCTTACTTCCCTCTTCCCAATTCATGGGTTCGGTCAGCAGTGACGCTGCCACCAGAGAAAGCAGCACACCGCTGCTCCTTCCACTTTGTACTTACAAAAGAGGCACAGAATCTCACAAAAGGTATAAAAGCAAAGCTCCTGGCAAGTGTCAGTAGACTGCTACTTTAGAAAAGCAAACATGAGGGATCTACCCACCCTTTCCAACTGATACTGTGTGTCAAACAAAACTATTCAGGAGTACCACTCATTGTGTGGATTGCTTGGTCTATTCAAAAGGCAAAGTCAATACAGAGACAGGAAGAGACAGAAAAGAGAGAGGCACAAGTGAAAACTTTTACAACAGCAAACATACAAATCAAGGGTCAAAATCCACCCTGTGCCATTTCCTGCCCTTGAGTTTACAAATGGAAAGAACCACACAGAGCAATTGGGTGGACAGACGAATAGGACATCGATCATGAGTTAAACCAGACAGAGCCCGATATAAGCAAAATGTACGTTCCCCAGTCAGGAATGTTGTCCAACACCCTGAATAACTTGGCCACCTCCATTGTTCAACATACGGGCTTTTCTAATTTGCCTGTCTTTGAACATTTCTACACTGGTAGTATTACTCCCTTCCTGACCCCAACTGCTTACAGACTAAATGCATCTTAATATTACTGAATAAAAAAGAATCACAGAGGAGGTCCAAATTCTCTGTACACATACAACTACAGGTGGGAAAAATCTCATGAACCAGTTTTACCTGGAACAAGATTCTGCCCTTACCTGTGTCGATTAGTTTGGTGCCTTCCCGCTATATAGAACGGCAGGTCTCATCATCCCAAACAGCATGCTGTTGGGGGAATAATGGGGGCTGTAGTACAGCAGAGAGCACTGGGTTGGGTAGAGGATTGCCTGAACCCTGACAGTGAAGCAAAACCTATCCACTGAATTCCAACCCAAACTAATGAAGTTCTATTGCTGCAAATTACTGCCTTTTGTTAGGGCAGCTTTTTGTGTCCTAAATGCACTACTGGGAGGAGAGGAGGGGATAAAGAAGACCTCAAAGTATCAGCTGAAGAAGGGTAGATACCTTGGTAGGAAAAATATTCCTAACAAAAGTCCTTGCCAAAGATGAGAAAAGTAATGTTTTTAGATTACAACTGCCTAAATATACCAGCTAGCAGGGCCAGTGAAAGTTGCAGTCCAAGGCACAAAAAGTAACTTCTCCTATCGCTTTCCCTTTCACACCTGAAAAACTTGCCTACGTTTATGGCATAAAAGTTTAAACCTCAAACATCTTCGCGTGGGGGCGCGGCAGCTGCTCCCGTTGAACAACTGCCTGTCTCGCAGCTGTTCAAAGCACAGAGACAGCCGGAAGACTCCTCACCGATCCCTTTGGCCCCACGCCTCCCTTCTAAACACTCGCCGTTTCTTTTGTTTGGTTGGTTTGTTTCGTGTTTTCGAAGGAAGTTGAAATCGGATTTTCTTTTCGGGTATTCAAACCGCTCCTGTTTCATAGCATTAGTGCACACGGCCTGCCCCTAATGAAGTTATGCCCAGGAAGAACCGTCTCTGGGCTGTTTCCCCGAAAGAGGAGTGGATGATGGATCAGTTTCCAGAGAGAAACTGGAGGCGATCCCAGCGCGTCCCGTATGATCTGCTCCGTCTCTCTTTCTCCCCTGCTTGGCAGCGCATCCGAGAGAGAGAGAGAGAGATCTTGGAGAAACAGGTAAGAAGGAAGCGAAGTTTCACTCTCTCTCTATCATGGCCCGATCAAGGGGGGGGGAGCGCTCCCCCATCTCACCTTCCCTCCCTCCCTCGGCTCAGAAAGTCCGCCAGGCGTGCAATTTCTGGGCACATCCAAGAGGTCCGCGCGGCGCTCAAGGGCAAAAGCACGCCTCGCCTTGGCGGTACCTGGCGGCGACGGCGGCTGCACCTGGCGGCGGCAGGTACTTCCTCCTCCTCGTCCCCCCCTCCCCGGCCGAGCTCTGAAGCG